GGGGGGGCGAAAAATGTCGTTTTTGCATACGGCTCTTTGATCTGTTTTTGCCTTTAATTGATCCTTTATATCTTTAAAATCTTCGGTTAGGAGAGAAATTTTATACAGAGTAACGATGGGATCAGATAAGTGTTGGATCACATGCAGGAACCAATCCTGAGCTAAAAACAAAGATATTATCATGAGCTGAGAAAGCACACATTTAAGAAAATATATACTCAAATGTGTCAAGTCAAGGGCAATTTTTGGGTATAGGTGCATTAAAAAAACACCCAAAAATATATTAGGCCAACTAATTTACTTACCGTTCAAAATAAAACATCCGTACTTACCTGTAGATGAAGTAGGAAATCCATTGAGTTGATCTGTAGCGATAAAAATGTGCTGATAACATAAGAAACTTCAAAAAACTTTAAAAACACTCTTAAAAAGTATTAGTGTCGGCCGAGGAAAATACGTTTTTGTCCATTACATTCAAATGTACGTAAGATTTTATTGGAATATATTTTGAGTGGGTAAGAAGAGCTTTTTAGGTAAAAACCATGGACCCACTATGGTTGAAGGCTGAATCTAAGATTTTACATGAATTTTTAGCCTCTGTATTTGCACCGTAACTAAATTGTAGTTAAGTCAAAAATTACCATCATTCGTCACCGAAAAAACTAAATTTAGTAGGATTGGTAGGTTTCGATAGGAATTTTCAGGGACCTAGAAAGTTCTAGGCCTTCCAATTTTTCAAATTGGCCACCCCATTTTAAAAACCTCTTCCTCCTCAGAAATTTCATGAGGATGACTTTTTTATGGCTCCACACGTATAAACTGCCGTTATTATGCGAAAAAAACGTGATGTTTACCGAGTTTTACGAAAAACACTGACGCACGTTTTTGCAAAAATACGCAATTTTGCCGGCTTTCTCACTTCAAAACACCGTTTTCGGGGCCTTCCTATTTTCACAAGCGACAGTTTGAAACCCGCCCGGTGGCGCGGTCGAAAATTTTTCGCACCCCTGAGGACTTTCTGAAAATATTCGATTAAATACACAGGTAGGTGCGAAATGCACATTCTAGAACATACGTCATTCGTCAATTTTAAGGAATTATCAGTTTAATCTTTTAAATACAGTGATATGGTACGAGGGCTAAATTTTAAAAATACAAAGAACCCGTTGAAGTTTTTGTTGAGTGAAGGTCCTATACATATATACCTAATTAATTTAAGGATTATACTCTCAGGGCTCAAACTGGACATACTTATGATGAAAGTAATGAAGTACACGCGTGATGATTATTGAAGTTGCAGCACTATGCAGGCTAACTTACGTATGCAAGGGGTCCACCGGGTTTGAATTTCAGCTGCGCATAATACAGAGACTGCTTACCTGAAACAAATAAATGAATCAACTGTTATAAATCAATTACTGAAAAATATTTGTGAAAAGCAAATCAACCAATTACTGCCATTCCGTTCTTTCCACACACCAAGAATATTATTAAACAGGTACAATTTGAAGATGAACATTGACCTGAGTAACTTACGATCAACAGTGCTTTTGGGAACAGGTCACTAGTACTAATTCTCCAAAAAATGTTGCATGCAATCGCGAATGATGACTTTCATTTTTCAAATGAATGAAAAACAGTTTTCTAGAAAATTCTACCATGGATCCCCAGTAAAGACTTCGCAGAGAACATAAGTGTCATAAATGATAGTGTGGCCAACTGTATTTGTTTTTGATCTATTACATTATCGAATATACAGTGAATCCCGATTATCCGTCAACGGGCGTGCGGGTTGTTGGATACCAAAAATGTCGGATAATCCGATGTACTTTCCGACTTTATTTCCGAACCTCGAGTTAGGTTATCTCTAACAATATATTTTTTTAAAAAAAAAAGATATAGATGGTGACTCTTTTATTGCTGAAATCACGATTCATGGCTGAGCTTGAGGGTTATATTTTATCGGTAGAACTCTCATTCTAGATGTGTTGTCGCAAAAAAGATACTATGTTGATTACATTATTGAATTTTCTCACGTATGAAACGGGGAGGGATGAGAAATAGTCAGGACTGTATACAGAGTACTTCCTTAAAAATATATTTTCCTTACCGAGGACCCATATGGCTCACTCTGTAACTAAAGGAAATTTTAAGTAAGCCTTGATCATGGCATCAAAAGAATGCTAATTGTTAAGAACCACTCGTAATTTAGTGGTGAACCTTAAGAAATGGAGCCTCACAAGGGAACAATGATTTTGCTGTGTAAACAATACAAAATACAAAAGGAAATATATCATGCGTTTTGCAAATTTTAAAGGGAAATCCTAACGTACATCACAACTTATCAACATCGTGTAATTTCTTCTTCTGTATATTTCACGCTTGGGGGAGGGGGGGGGATCATTTTTGTCCCTGGCAAGAATCCATTTCCAACGTAAAGCTGAATTTTACTTTAAAGCTACAAGTATTGTCTATTTTATGATAAGATGTTAAATGTACCCTTAAACGTCTCTTCATCACGAGTATTCAAGGTAGATATGAGACCTCCCTAACTGGAAAATAGCTGTTTGAGGAGTGACTATGTATTGGACCCTTAAAGTAATGTCAACGACTCCAAAATGCCCTACCTCCAAAAGTAATTATCCAAGATTATCCAATAATTTTTTTTTTTTCATTCAAACTTTAAAAAATTTTGTCCTCAAAAATTCATAATTATTTAAAGGGAGAATTGCAATAATTTCTGCACTGAGATACTGTTATACGTTAATATTTTTTGCAAAATGAAGATCGAATTTGAAAATAGGATGTTTATTCCGGTTTGAAGAGTAAAATTCTCAGATACTCATTTTTTAATATTTGGCAAATCTTTAGAATCAAAAGAAGTTTCCAGGGGTCTAAAAAATTCAAGTAATAAAACTAGGAGGGATATTGGGATGGTGGGAAAAGAAAACAAACTATTAAAATTAGTGGTGAAATTTCAATAATTTATAAAATCATATTAATTTCCAGGGGCATAGCACAAATTGTGAACAAGCTTCACAAGTTCACTTCGTAAAACTTATTCAATTAAAGTAAGACAAACATAAAAATCATATCAAATAGGAATCTTACGATAGTGAGCAAACGAAAATCACATTCTTATAAACCTAGTTAAATAAAAGTATATAGAATGAAACGAAAAATTTCGACTGTGAATACAACTTTATGGCAGAAATATGTGCGTGTTAGAACTTTAATTCTGAGGCTATACGGTAGGAATTGCCCGAGAAAGATTGAATTTTTTCTTGGTAACAAATCACTTCTGAGCAATACGGCCTTCCACATACCATAATTTTGAAAATTAGTATTTACATCAGATTTGAGCAAAAGCAAACTAAAGTATAGGTTTGAAAACCAAGATAGTCGTATCATCGGATTAAAATGTATCACTCGACTTTTTAAATTGATAAATCATATTCTTTAGCTGAAAGTTTAAATTCTTAAGAAAAACACCCACCGTATTGCAATGTTGTATAAAAGAAGGATCTATGTATGAGTTTTTTAAAACCAGTTTTCTCTGGTTTCTTGTTCATTTAATCGTTTTAATTACGAAGTAATCTAAGAGTAACTTTACTATTTATAAGAGATGGCACGCTAGCTTTTTAAACCTTAAAACCACTGACAGGCAGTTTTGCCTAATCAATAATCACGATCGTGATGGAGTTCAAAGTGAGGTTGAGGTATAAGGCACTATTAAGGCACCCATACGATGGCTAAAAACGAAAAATGTATAATTTTATTGCAACGCTTTAAAATCTCCGAATAAGTTTCATTTTATTCTTTGAAAGAAATAAACCAAAATGTCACTCGGAAAATTTCTGTGAATATATTTGAGTGAGTAAACAAAAATTGACAGAAATTTTTAGAGCGAACGTTCGGTTGGTTTTCTTCAAAAAAAACTAAAACATGAGCGGAGATTCACAAAGTCGCAGTAGGACTACGTTTTGCGACAGAGAACTACGATTTCTGGTTCATTTCAGAAACAACAGCATTCGTGCGAATAGGTGCGTTTGTGGGTGAACCAGAAATATTAGTTTTCTATCTTAAAACGCAGTCCAACAAAATATAAGCATTTTTCTACTTCAGCCATTGATATGTTAAACCATGTGATGATGTATCCACTTCAAGCTCACTCTGAATCTCAGTTTGGTCGTGCACATAGGATTTTCGATTTTGACTTTCGATCATTGTAAACTTTTAGGACTATCTTAACCGTAGATGGTTTTGACTGGTGCGGGGGCGTAGTGGGACGTGTAAGCGACGGGAGCATGGGCTACGACAGGTGCGTGGGCGACGTAGGCGGGTGCGTGGGCAACGTAGGCGGGAGCGTGGGCTACGTAGGTGGGGGCGTGAGCGACGACGGGTGCGTGAGCGACGACTGGGGCATGGGCTACGACGGGGACCTTGGCGGCGACGGGGTGGCCGACGGTGTCCTTGTGGACTACGGCGTTGAAACCGTTGACGGGGTCGGCGGTGTAGTCCACGGTTCTGCGGCTGCCGTCGGGCTCGGTGAGGCTGTAGCTACCTTGGACTACGTCGCCTTGTCTGGATTCGTGCTGGGACTTGGAGTCTCCGGTGGTGGGGTCGTTGATGTCGTAGGCGTAGTTGTAGGCGGGGT